AGGTCTGGGTGGGCCCTCTACAGTGTCCCAGCTGAAGGATTCCTCTCGAATTCACCGCCCAAGTTTTGTCTTTCTTTCAGAAACAAAAAAACAAAAAGATTTTATTAGAACAGTCAGCAACAAATTAGGTTTTGCCAGTCGATGGACGGTTGTGGATCCTATTGGTATCAGTGGAGGTCTCGCTCTCTTCTGGGATAGCGGCATCAACATCCTCCAAATCATCAGCCATTCTTTTTGCTTTGAAGTCGAGATTGAAAGTCATAACAGTGCGGGATCATTGTGGATCATATTTGTCTATGCCAACACAGACAGGAACCTCAGAAATGAGCAGTGGGATTTTCTTATACAAGCAAAAGCAAAATGGGGCCAACAATGGATCATAGGGGGAGACTGGAACGCCATTATCCATAATGATGAAAAAAGAGGAGGACGAGATAAAAATTTGGAGGAAATGAGAGAATTCCAGAATTTTATTAGCCAGATAGGAATGATTGAAGTGAGAATCAAAGATCATCAATTCACTTGGTCAAATAACAGGTCTCATGAGGAATTCATCGAGGAAAGACTTGATAGGGTCTTCGGTTCTTTGGAGTGGATCGCTAATAACCCAAATGCTGTGATTCTAAACTGCTACAAGACTTCATCTGACCATAGTCTCTTGGTGCTCAATGAGGATACCAGTGAAGTCAACCATAGAAAGCCTAGATTTCAATTCGATAAACGGTGGCTTAAAAATGAGGGTGTAACTGAAACAGTCAATAAGGCCTGGAGTAATCAATGTTGGGGTACTCTCATGTTCAAATTCCAAGAGAAGATCAAGCTGACAAGGGTTTCACTCCTCAAATGGAGCCAAGCATTTAAATCCAATGGAGCAGACAAGATCAGTAAATTATCTCTGCAGTTAGAAGAAATGAGATTAAAGAGTGGAGACAAAAATTGGGAGAACTGGGAGAGAATAAAGCAAGAACTTGAAGCTGCGCAAATGTCTGAAGAGGCTTTTTGGAAACAAAAGTCAAGAAACTTGTGGCTGAAGGAGGGTGATATGAATTCAAAATTTTTCCATGCACTCACTCTCCAAAGGAGGAAAACCAATTCCATTTGTAGATTGATTCTTGACAGAGGAAAAGTTTGTGATGCTAAGCATGAGATTGAAGAGGTTGTATGCTCCTTTTATTCAGATTTATTTACATCTGAGACTACAGCAGAGGATAATGAGATTATCAACCTTATTCCTACTGTGATTGATCACTCTATTAACTAAGGCTTAATTGCCAAAGTGGATGAGGGAGAAATTCAGGCGGCTCTCTTTAGCATGAATCCAGACAAATCTCCAGGAGCAACTGGTATGTCTCCACTTTTTTTCCAGCACTTCTGGCCTATTATCAAGTTTGATCTGTGTGAGGCAGTGACTAGCTTCTTTGAATCTAAAATGCTCCTGAAAAGCTGGAACCACACCATTATAACACTCATTCCCAAAAGCACCAACCCCACCACATTAAGTGACTTCAGACCAATCAGCCTCTGTGAAGTTGCTTACAAAATTATTTCCAAAATCTTGGTTGCTAGATTGAAACCTGCTCTTCACTTGTGTGTCAGTGTTAATCAAGCTGCTTATATCCCTGGTAGGCAGCTCATGGATAATGTCATCATGGCACATGAAGTTCTTCATTTTCTAAACAGGCATAGAACAGGAAATCAAGGTTATCTTGCTCTGAAACTTGATATGATGAAAGCCTATGACAGGCTGGAATGGAGCTCCTTATACACGGTTTTAATCAAATTTGGTTTCCATTCAACCTTTGTGAAGTGGATAATGAGATGTGTAACTTCTGCCACTTACTATGTGAATATAAATGGTGAAATCTGTGGTTACTTTGGTGCATCAAGGGGTCTCAGGCAAGGAGACCCTATCTCACCATACTTGTTTATTCTTGCCTCAGAGTTATTCTCGCTGCTTATTAAAAGAGAGATTACTAATGGCTGTCTGAAAAGTGTCAAAATTGCTAGGGGAGGAACCCGGATCTCTCACCTCCTGTTTGCAGATGATTCTTTAATCTTCTGTGGTGCTGATAATGCTTCTATTTGTGCTATTTTGAGAATTCTGGATTCCTATCACAAGCATACTGGGCAGAAGGTAAATCTCTTGAAATCTTCAATTTTCTTTAGCAAGAATGTCCCTGGTGGTGTGCAGTCTGACATTTGCAATCTCCTTCATGGAATTCAAGTGCAAAAATCTTCAAAATATTTAGGGATGCCATTGGGTATTGGGAAATCGAAAAATCAGACTTTTGAATATGTGGTGGAGGCTGTTACAAAGAGAATGGCAAATTGGAAGAACATTTACCTCTCACAAGCAGGGAAAGAAGTACTCATTAACTCTGTTTTAAATGCACTGCCGGTATTCACTATGTCTTGCTTTGCTACGCCTAAATCTCTCTGTCAGAGGCTTGCTAGTATTTGTGCTAATTTCTGGTGGTCTAATGGGAATGATCAATCATCTGGTATACATTAGAAAAGCTGGCAGGCAGTTACTCTCCCCAAAAAGGCAGGGGGGTTGGGATTCCATGATCTCAATCTGTTCAACGAGGCTCTCATTTTGAAGCAAGTGTGGAGAATTGCCACCAATCCCAACCTACTTGTCAGTAAACTTTTGAAGAGCAAATATTTCCCCCAAGGAAACATCTTTCAGGCCAAAAAACACAGTAGCTCTTCATGGCTTTGGTCCACCTGGGTTTCAATCAAGAACAAACACAAGCATTGTTTCAGAGTGCAAATCAGAGATGGCCTTTCTACCAGAATCTGGCAGGACCCTTGGATTATAACTAGTCACACTGGAGTTCCTCCTTTACCTGATGGTAGGGAATCCAACTTACAATGGGTTTGGGAATTGCTGGAAGATGGAGGGAGGAAATGGAACACTCAACTGCTGAAAACCCTCTTCAATGAGAATGACTGTGCTTGCATTCTGAAGATAAATACTCTTGACCCAGGGAAAAAAGACAGATGGGTATGGATCAAAGGAGATAACCAGGAATTTACAGTGGCCAAAGCCTACTCAAAAATGGTGAATGACAAGTTCAATAACCTGGATATAGCTGAAGGAAGTAAAGGAGCTGGCACTCTAAGGAAGATCAGAACTAGAAGCTGGAAGTTAAACATTAAAGGCAAGCTCAAACACTTTCTATGGAAGTGTTATTCTGATGTCCTTCCTACTAAGACCAAATTGAGAAAGAAAGGATTGCTGGTTGACTGCATTTGCCAAACATGTGGTGAGGACCTTGAAACAATTGAGCACATCTTCTTTAAGTGCAAGAAGGCTAGGGAAATGTGGAAAGCTGCACCTGTGAACTGGGAACTAACCCAAGTTCCCAACACAAGCTTCAAGCAATGGTGGATTGATGTATGCTCTGTGAACAAGCTTGAAGTTTCTGAAGCAAGAATAGAGCTGACCACCTACCTTTTGTGGTGGTTATGGAAAGCTCGGAACTTGTGGGTGTTCAAAAAAGCATGGATGCCAGTTCCTGTAATCATCCAAATGGCTCAAAGGGACTGGCTTGAATTTTCCAAAAGGAACTGTAGCACTAAATGGGTGGGGCAGTGAAGGTGTCTAGGTCCGGTCAGGTTCAGTGGTCTCTTCACTTCTCTCCTCATATCTTGCTATTTCCTTCCTCTTCTTTTGTTAGTTTGTTAGTTTGGTTTCTGCTTTTTGGGGAGCTTGTTTGTCTGGTTTTGCCCCTTCTTTTTTAGTTTTGTGTTGGTTTGCAGTTGGTTGCAATGCTAAAGATGTCAAGGTTAAAGCTGGCTTTAGCATGTGCTTTAGTGTGGTTAATTGTGTTCTGTTTGTATTAGAGCACTCGGGTGTGAGTAGCTCTCTGTTATTTGGGTCAGTTGACCCCCGGTTTGTATTCCTTGTACATTGTTGATATAATATCTTCTATCGTTGCGAAAAAAAAGAAAAAAAAAATAGAAATTCATAGCTTAATATTTGTATACAAAAAAAAATAACAAAAATAATAATAATATTTTTAATATAGTTTGGCTTTTATTTTAGCTATTTAAAAAAAATGTCATTGTATCGAAAATACTCGATATATAAAAAATAATATTACAATAATCGAAACAAATACAAATTTCCGTACCGAATTTATGTTCGTTGGATCTCGTTCGGTTTTGTGCAATATGGTAGACATTTATATGCAATTAGTATAACCATTATGTGCATTACTTAAAAAAAAATTAGATTAAATTTTTATAAAAAAATTAGATTAGTATACCATTATGCGATAATGTATAACCATTATGTGCATTACTTAAGAATATATAAAAAAAATTAGTATAAATTTTTATTAAAAAATATAAATAAAACAAATTTGGTAATATTTTTTCATATAGTTCGCCAAGCTCAATTATTTTATTTATTTAAAAAGACTAAGTTCGACATCCAATTAATTTATTCGATCGATTAGCAGAACTACCGTATTTTTTTTGGTACGCCTAGTGTGTTGTTTTATAAGTTATAACATGTCGTGTTATAAAGTGCAACGTATTTCCATATACAATGCAACATATTGATATACAAAGTGCAATTATTTAGATATGTTTGTTAGATTTATACCGCGTAATATTTTTGGCGGGAGTTGCTGATGTCAATTATGTTGATAAAGTGCAACATGACGTCTTATAAATTGCAACATCCCGCTATATAACATGCATTAATTTATAAATTATGTGTACTCGAAAACTATTTAATAGATATAATTGTACATCAAATTAACTTAAATCACTAAAATGTCTTTTTATTTACTATTTTTTGTTATATAATTTACTCATTACTGTAAAATATTTTTATGCTATTTCAATATTTAACATTATTGTTGTTTAATAATTTATTTATTATTTACTTTTTTTTTTGGGTTTATACCGCGTAATATTTTGGTGGGAGTTGTTGACGTTAATTATGCTGATAAAGTGCAACGTGACGTCTTGTAAAGTGCGACGGGTTACTTTATAAAGTGCAACATTCTGCTATATAAATTGCACTAATTTATACCTTCCCATATAAATAATGTGCATTCAAAAACTACTTAATAACTATATTCATAAAGCATATGATTGTGTTGAGTGGAAAGCTCTGCAGTTGGTGATGGTGAGGATGGGTTTTCATAGACAGTTTGTTAAGTGGATATTGGCCTGCATTCAAATGCCTACATTCTCTTTTAATATTAATGGCAAGTCCTGTGGTTATATTACAGCATCCAGGGGAATTAAACAAGGAGACCCGCTGTCTCCCTATCTTTTTCTTATTATCTCTGAGGTGCTATCTGCCAGGATACTTATGGATGCTGAGAGAGGAAAATTCAAAGGTTTGAGACTGTCCAGGGAGGGTCCTCTGTTAACTCATTTAATGTTTGCAGATGACACTTTGATCTTCTGTAAGGCTGATGAGGGGCAGGCTAGAAAGCTATTGCTCATGCTAAAATATTTTCAGGAATTCACTGGGCAACAGGTTAGTATGGACAAGTCTACTGTGTTTTTCAGCAAGAACACATCTGAAGTGACAAAGCAAAGTGTCTGCACTGTTTTGGCTGGGATTCAAATGCATTCATCTACCAGATACTTAGGGTTACCTCTAGGGATTGGGAGGTCCAAAACAGAAGCATTTACTTATGTGCTGAATGTAGTTAAGAAGAGAATTTATAGCTGGAAAAATAAATGGCTTTCAACTGCTGGGAAGGAGATCCTCATTAAAGCAGTGCTCAATGCCCTTCCCATCTTTGCAATGTCTTGCTTTGTGTTACCAACAGGGTTGTGCAATGAGATTTCAGCTGTGTGTTGCCAATTCTGGTGGAGTAAAGGTGCAGATAGGCATAAAGGGCTGCATTGGTTAGATTGGAACAAATTGACTCTGAAGAAGAAGCATGGAGGCCTTGGTTTTCAAGATATCAAGTTGCTTAACACTGCCATGATTGCTAAGCAGTTGTGGAAGCTAGTGGCAGAACCAGAGAGATTAGTGAGTAGGGTTCTCAAATCAAAATACTTTCCTAATTCTACCTTATTTGAGGCTGAGATGAAGCAAAGTGCATCATGGCTTTGGAGAAGTTGGCTATCAGTGCTGCAGGTATGTGGGAATTGGATGAAAGTGGAGGTCAGAGATGGCAGGAGCACAAGAATATGGGATAAACACTGGGTTCCTTGTTTTATTGGTAGAGATGTTGAATTATTACCTGGCATTGAGAGAGGGCTGGAATGGGTGAAAGACTTGATGACTGAAGATGGGAGAGGATGGGATGAGCATAGGGTCAGATCCACCTTCACTCCTGTTTTCTGTAATGCTGTTCTGAACATTAAATCTAATGTACCTGATAAGGAAGACAGGTGGATTTGGACCCTGCATACCAAAGGCATATTCTCTGTTCAATCCACTTATGCAAGGTTGATTACAGATAAGTTTATGAAGCAGCTTCTTGCACAGAGCAGTAGAGACTTGGTTACAGACTCAAAAGTCAGGAACAAAACTTGGGCTATGAAGGTTATGGGGAAGCTGAAACATTTTATATGGAAATGTTGTAACAATACTTTGCCAGTCAACTTGCAACTGAGAGAAAAATGAGTAGATGTGGATCCTATATGCAGATTGTGTGGAGAGGCAGCTGAGTCAATTGTTCATATATTTTTCAAGTGCAGGTGTGCAGCAGAGGTATGGAAGGTAGCACCAGTTAAATGGGAGGGACCTCAAGGCAATGACTCGTTCAAATCTTGGTGGTGGAGTATTTGTCAGTTGGATACTGGTGAGGTTTCTGAAGCCCGGATACAGTTATCTACTTATATATTATGGTGGTTGTGGAAATCTCGCAACTTATGGGTGTTTGAGCATGTTAGAAGACCTGCACATATGGTTATCAGAGCTGCCATGCGGGATTGGGATGCTTTTCAGCAGGGTAACCGGTGTTAGGTCATTAGTTTGTCTGTTTTCTTTTTACTCTTAGGGTTGTGGTCTTTGTTTTGCTGTGTGTTGTTTTTGAGGTTTAGATTTGGTCGTGTGGTTTGCCTGGTGGGATCAAAGGTTCAGTTGAGGGTAACTGCTTTGGTTTCATTTGTTAGTCTTGGGTGTTGTGTGTGTTCTAGCTCACCTTGTGTGATGCTCCCAGCTTCGGCTTTATTGTATTGAACGTTTTTTGGTTTTTGAGTAATAATTCTATCGTTTGAAAAAAAAAAAACTATAGTTATACATTGAAATAACTTAAATAATTAAATATCTTTTATTTATTATATTTATTATATAATTTATATATTAGTATAAAATATTTTTATATTATTTTAATATTTTTACATTATCTTTATTATATATATATTTATTATTTAATATATGCACAACAAAATATATAAGAAACAATTTTTTTATTAACTTTAAATTAAAATGTAGCTTGTCGTTTTATAAAATGCAACGTGTCGTTTTATAAGGTGCAATGTGTCGTATTATAAAGTGTAACGTTCTATCTTATAAAGTGCACTACATGTTTTTTTATGTGCGCATATAAACTAAAATTAGCATGAACTAAATATGCATAAGAAATGAGTTATATATGTCATCCTTATGAACTAAATATGCAGCAATAATATCAACTATGTATGCACTGTTTATGTACTAAATATGCACATTTTACTAACTAAATATGCATCAGGAATGAACTAAATATGCAACGAAAATATGCAATAAAATATACATTTTATACAATTAACTTAAATATAATAATTAATGATTTTTTATTATATAATTAATTTTAATTTTAAATTGATTAATAACACAAATAAATTGTTATGATTGGATCTCAAAATAAAATAGGTATGCACTGTTCATGAACTAAATATGCATTTCGTAAGAACTAAATATGTATCATGAATAAACTAAATATGCATCATAAATTAACTATATAAATATCGTTATATATGTAATTTAAATATAACAAGTATGCATTTTGTATTAACTAAACATGCATCATAAATTACCTAAATATTCACAATAAATTAACTAAATATGCATCATAAATTAACTATATAAAATGTACATTTTATTACATATTTTTTCGCTGCATATTTAGTTCATTCATGATGCATATTTAGTTCATAACAGATGCATATTTATTTAATAACACAAATAATTTTTATTATATAATTAATTTTAATTCTAAATTGATTAATAACACAAATAAATTGTTATGATTGGATCTCAAATAAAATAGGTATGAACTGTTCATGAACTAAATATGCATTTCGTAAGAACTAAATATGTACCATGAATTAAGTAAATATGCATAATAAATTAATTATATAAATATTATTATATATTTAATTTAAATATAACAAATATGCATTTCGTATTAACTAAACATGCATCATAAATTACCTAAATATCATAATAAATTAACTAAATATGCATCATAAATTACCTATATGAAATGCACATTTTATTGCATATTTTTCGCTGCATATTTAGTTCATTCATGATGCATATTTAGTTTATAACAGATGCATATTTAGTTCATAACAGGTGCATACTTAGTTGATATTATTGGTGCATATTTAGTTCATAAGAACTGCATG